TTCAGAGGAAGATTAAGAGGAATGTATTGGCCATGTTAACTCAATGGAAAAAACACCTTCCACTCCTCATACATTTACTTGGAATTCAAATTATTAGAGGTATATTTCTCAGACATTAATGGATGAGGGACTACCCTCACTGCTGTAAGAAGCTCAGGTATTTAAACTTTCCTTACTTCAAACATAGAAAACACAGTAAACTTTCTATTTTATTACATTTCTTATCATGAATATTTTGAATACAAAGAAATGATGCAAAATATTATATGTATTACAATTAATGTGTACATTATTTATATTTATACTCTAATTTCTTAAATGGATTTTTAAGTGCTTACTCCATTTATATACCATGAATCAAAATTAAAATGTTGAAACAAAACTCTTCCTTTTATGCTTATTACACCACAAAATGATATGTAAAATTACCAAACAGCAGTGGATTGTGGATTCATACTAATACATTTCAACCAAAATATATGAATGATTTATATCTATTTTATTATTTAAATTAGCTGGTTAACAATGCATGTATACTAAATTTCTTTATCCATAATCCAGCACTGCATAGTTCAATGCTAGCCAGACGAGAATTGCTTGCTCTCTTCTACATCACTGCAAATAGCATCTCTCTCGCCTCAAAACTATGTAAGGAAGGTTTGATAGGTGTTCTCACATCTTAATTGCAGTGTATTTGTATGAGATATAAAGCAGCAGGTCAGTTCCATCCAACCTCAATCTTATTTTCCTTACAGATGACCAGATTATGGTCCCGGTTGGAATGTTCAACTGTTAAAAATGAACTGAGGCAGATAATCATGAAATAGAATATTTTCCTTATGCTCACCTTTTTATTATAGATACCTTCAGAATTTGTATGAAACAGCTGCAGTGGTTGAGTGGTTGCTGCAAAGACAGTTTGGATCCAAGGTTCAGTCACAGGACAGGTGCCTGCAACAGCTGGCCAGACTGTCCAGAACTGCTGCTACATGTATGCTCTGCAGCATGAAGGCTGAAATGACTCAAATATTGGCATGACCTGCAATGATCCTTCTCTTAGGCAAAATAACTTATTTTTAATACTGAAAAAAACGTGGAAACATACATACGGCCTGGGGAAAGCTACTTCTGTGCAGCACTGGATCACATGCAAAGCTGCCAAAATATACTCAAATCTAAAGAGTTGTCCAAGCTGATGACCAAAACCTCTCTCTCAAAAACAACACATTTCCTTCTCAGTGCACTGAATATATTCAAGGCAAAACAAATTTTTTGCCTGTGATTGCCTGAAAGATGCTCAGAAAGATCAGAGGGACTTGTTCTAGGCAGTCCACATTGGCTTTGCTGGGTTGATCCTTTGCATCACTAAACAGATAAAAGAGTCTTCTGCAAAAGATCCTGAACTTTCTTGACACCAACTTCCCTTCCTCAGCAACCTCAAAAGCTCTTTAACTTTCTAGCTTTCCTCATTGAGACCACCAGCGTCTTATGTAAAATGGACTGTTTTTTCAGAGAGTGGCGCTTTATTATACATTGAGGTTCAAATATGAAAGCCAAAGACCAGTTAAGATCTCTCAACAGTGTAGAATCACAGAATCACTTTGGTTGGAAAAGACCTTTAAGATCATCGAGTCCAACCTTTAACCTAACCCTGCCATCCCACCACTAAACCATGTCCCTAAGCACCTCATCTATCCTTCTTTTAAATACCTCCAGGGATGAGGACTCTACCACCTCCCTGGGCAGCCCATTCCAGAGCCTGACAACCCTTTCAGTGAAGAAGTTTGTCCTAATGTCTAGCCTAAACCTGCCCTGAACTTGCATCAGAAAGAACAGGTTTAGAAAAAAAAAATAATTTCAAAATGGCCTGAACAGGAGTGAAATTGCTCTTAAAACCAGCAATTTTTCAAATCCAGACTCCTGGAGGACTAGAATATCCTGGGTAGTGGAACTATTTAGTTAACCTATGGGCTACTGGAAGCAGTAGGAAGTAGCGCAGTTATAACTTGAGATTAACCACTTATAAAGAATTGAGGCTGGTGCTGTCTGTTTTCCTCTTCAACAATGGGATACACGGTATATTACCGATTTTTATTTAGTTTCAATTACTAGGCAAAAAATATTACATTTAACCAGTATTTTTTTTATTAAGGAAAATCATCAAACTCTAATTTTTTTTTTCCAAATCCTAGAAACCAGGAAACCTTAGAAAACAATACCTGAATTAGCACATGTGCATGGACATGCCAGTGTTAGTACCTGGCTGAACTTAAGAGGAAAAGCTTACATATTTTGTTTCCATAAATATCTCCCATCACATTTCACAGCCTGTTTCGGGCTAAAAAGAACTACTAAAGTTTGGGTTTTTTAGTTTCAATACCGTAGAACTAAACTACTTTATTATATTTACTTGTTAAAAACATTTATCTTTCAAATCAATGCTGTATGAGCATCATGAAATACATTGCCTACCTATATTGTGATAGAATAGTTTTACCCCTTAATGTTGCTCCTTATCGCTACCCCCATAAGGCAAACAATATTTTAACATAGTAGTTAATCATGTTCTTCGGGGGTGGGGGGGGAAGAAACAATCCAGAGTTCACCAGTGCTTTAGAATAATTAAAAAAAAAAAACCAAAACAAAAACCCACCAAACTGAATGTTATTTTATAACAACTGGTAAAAATGGCAAAAATAAAAAGCATTTTATGTATCAAGTATCTTACCTTTTCGTCCAGGGTATACATGAGGGTAATATTCATAATAAAGATCAGGCTGGTCTAAATTTCCAAACGGTTCAAATTCCATTTCTGCATTTTGGAATAGATTCAGTTTTACCAGCAGTGCTAGTCTCACAAACCACAGCTAAGAATAAATACACATAAAAAAAAAAGAAGGAAAATGCAAGGTCTGTTATTAGCTTCAGTCACAAGCTGCATCCAAATACAATCTCAGCTTTCTAAGTTTTTCTGATGGAGTAAAGAGTTTCTATGTTAGTTACTGGTAAGAATCAGGATTTATATTTACATGCTCTTTCACAGAATACTTTTCATAAGATCATTAAAACAAAACACAGAGGACTGATGTTTTGTTTGCAAAGGTACTGAGATTTTGAAGATGAAGTTTAAAAACTAACCTGCTTCAAAATTAGAGCATCTCTCTTTAAACTGAGTTAGCATGTCAGAATTATCAATCCAATTTTCTATTGTTTTTCCCATTTTTTATGATTTTGGTGAAACTTTGCTAGCTTTATAGTTACTACAGAACCATGACTTGTCATCTGGTTATATTTTGTTCAGTAAACCCCTTGTAATGTTTCACAAACCTTTATTAATTTGGGTTCTTATTTTCTTATCATTGTGAAACATACTTCTAACATTTGAAATCTTACTACAAAGTTCACACTCTAGTGTCCATGAACTTTATAGCACAGTGAGTGTTCCAAGATAGCAAAACACAGTCCTTTTTACTAGTGTGATTACCTTTAAAAATATACAAGCAAGACAGAATTTTACTTTTTTAAGAAAAAAAAAACCCAACAACTTAGTCTTAAATGAAGATCTCCTTTACATAAGCAAACAGAAAAAGTGACTTGCTACAATGCTTTAATAAGCTCAGTTTTTAGGTAGCAATTAGAAAAGAAGTTTGATCATATTAAAAAAAAAGCCACTGTGAATATTGTTGGAAAAAAGTGACAAGGGTGTATCTTTCAACATACCTGTAAAGAATCTGTTGTATGATTAGTAGGTAGTCCACTTTTTTTATAGCCTTGACCATGTGCAGTTAGAAGCCGCCCACACAAGTCAACTGCTGCTCTCCAGTTTTTACTGCTCTGGGAAGAAGAAAAGAGTAACTAGCAAAACCATAAAGTCCCTAAAAGGCATAACTGCTTATTTTGCCTGAAGCAGCTATATCTACCCATCAGTAATAGTGACAAGGTCAGGAGAGCTGGCCAGTGAGAAGCACAAAGTCATTTGTCAAAGCTGCACATCTAACTAGGCAAAAAGAGAAATCAAGCATCAGAGAGTTAACATCAGATTACTAAAACAAAAGAATATACAGTACCATATGGGATTCTAAACCTAAAAGCTGTATCATGTTTGCTAATATACTATAATATTCACAATTTTGTTTTCTTTTCAAAAGGAGACATTGCCAGCCATATTTCAATAATCACATCTGAGTTACTCTACTGTTACAAAGTATTTAACACCTATTCTTACCTCACTGACTTCCGTATTTCAGATTATAACCCCTAATGAAGTTCATTTAATGAAAACAGACTTCCCTAACATTGCCCAGAACACAGAATTCCTATCAACTGAGAACAAAGAACAAGAAACAATGTAGTATATAAAATGATAAATTCAGAACAATAACAATTGTTTCACCTATAAAATGTAAACATTTGAATTTCTATTGCATGGCTAACAAAAATATTCTTTTTTATACATATATTTCTATTAATAAAATCATTCCTAGTTAGACAAGTCAAACCACCTTGTCACATTGTTATCCTATTAATGCTTCTGCCTATTAACATGCTAATACAGCCATGTAAATAGCTAACGCTACCAAAAACTTAAAACACAGACTGATGTTTCACAGGTTTTAAGCTATTATACTTCTCTGTCATACAGAAGAGTTTTTCAAGAGACATGTATCTAGCAGGTCATTATAAAAGAAATACATCTTGTTCATGAAAGTAATCTTTTTTCAAGTAAGTTTCTTAAATACATAAAAAAATAATGATAAATGGAAAACTGTCATGCTATCTGGTGAAATGGAAAGGAATAGAATATATTTATATCAGTGCTTGTAAAGTTCAGGTACTCACCTTGAACTGGTATTTTACTAAATTCTCTCCAGTATTCAGAGTTTAGAAAACATGTCAATACAGCGAAGTTACCCAGAAAAACTACTAGTAACAGCTGAAGAGTTTTCATACTCTCTGGCCCCCCGTTTTGCAACCATATAGTTCAAGGGGCCACTACAGAGATCACTGCGCACTGACCACCTCATCTCTCCCCTGCATTATCAAATCCCGGATAAAAATTTGAGTTCCACTGGAAATGCGGAAGTCGGCTGACAGCAAGACCACAAAGTAGCATAGAGGCTTCCGAGACATCTACACTCTTATGGAAGAGCAGGAATTGGTAACGCATTTACAACATCGTTCAACATAGATCTGTATCAACTTAGAAAAACAGAAAGACACTGACATGGATTACCTGAAATTTATTCCTCTTCTGCAGAGACAAATTAATTTCTTATTATCCTTAGAACAGAAGGAGACACAGACTCTAAAACTGTTCAACTTTCCTTCCCAAGTGAGAGTTAGGATCCAAAAATAATAATTGGAACATTTATGACAAAGTTAGGTGCTAAAATTTTTTAAATTCTATTTCAGGCATGGACAAAAAAATACTTCTTTATAGAACAAGACAGCCAGGAGAAGCAAGTCTGACAACCATCATAAAAACAGTCTTTGCTGGAAAATGAAACATAATATTCATCACGATTTCAAAATTAGAGCTGCCTGCTGGTCATGGAGCATAATTCTCTGTGGAAGCTTAATAGAAGGCTGCTGGCAGTAGAACTTAATTTGAAATTAGTAGGACACATTATTGTCTCTGGCAAATTGTACCAGACTTACAGTTGCTAGAGTTGCCAGCCCACGAGAAATCTTTATCCAGTTATTTCAAACACCCCTCAAAACCATGCAGGTCAGTCCCTTTCATGTCTCCTGCAGTCTACAGCCACCACAGTCTTTACAACCCAGGTTCCTTGTTCCTGAAAGTAATAGGGATGAATTTTATTTGTAAGTCATAAGTAGAGGCTCAGAGCAAATATGGATGCTACAGTTTCAGATATAGCATCAAAAATACAGAAGAATATTCTTAAAGAATAAAAAAATTATTCCTTGATGAATAGGACACAGTCCTCCAGCAGCAATTTTGTGAAAAGATTATTCTCTCCTAGAGAAAAGAGAGTCAGCCAAATATTATTGCCAGATAGTTCACTAACACAGTACCACCCTGGCAGAAGAGAACTTCTTTCCATACATGGCATTAGGAAATCTTTTCTTCACAAAAAATATGGAGCTGTTGTTCTTTTAATGAAAATCAACCATCTTGTATGATTTCTGTGCTTTTCACACACTACTAGTCCAGATGTTTAACTTGTGAAGGGATTTTTTGGGTGCATATAAGATAACCAAAAATTAAAAAAAGAAAAAAAAAAAAACCCCAAAACATTTCAGTACTGACTGCTGTACACATACCAAAGCTAGGACTAGCATATTTGCCACCCAACAGACAATGCAATTGCATTATTCCTTGCAGAATGACTCTCCTCTTCGAAAAAATCAGAAGTTGTCCTGGGGCAAGTTTACATACAGATGGGGAAACCGCATATTAAAACAGGTTTCAACTAGAAAGGATTTATTTTTTTTAAGAAAGATAGAGCCATCCCAATGATTTTTTATGTTTTCATTCAACTTCTTAAGTTGTCTGAGATTTGAATACAATGACTCTAGGTTTAAAAAAAAAAAAAGTAGACAGTAGAGCCAGGATTTTGTCACACTATTACCCTGTAGAGGTAGGAACTAAAAGTTTTACATAGCTTGAGGTGGTAAGACTTGTGTGTTACAGAGCCTCCTCTGCCCACCCTTTTTATTTTCTTCATTTTTTTCCTCTTCAGTGAGAGCTTACCTTGCACACAAATCTGACATGCCTGTTTTGGAACAAATACAGTATGTTTATTACCTTACCGCTTCTTTTGATTGCACCTCCAACCTAACTAAATACTGTATCTGCAGCTTTAAGAGATAAAAATGTCAATGTAAGGTGATCAATTCAACTCCTCATTTTACTGACGTATGTTCCACCATTTTCAAAATAAGAACCCAACTAAGGCTATCATGATCCCCTTTTATTAAAAGCAATAAAAGGAAACAGCCTAAAAAACATCTGAAATGGAGTCAAAAATATGAGTTATAAATTCTAATAAATCCACATCTAAAGATCTGGTAATGCTTCTAGTCCATTTGGTCAAAGTTAGAAGTAACTGAGATATTCTGTACATCCCAATGCCATCAAAAAGCCTATTTTCTGCAAAGACGGATGAAGGAATGGGATGAGGGTAGAAAAGAATTCCAGCAACTAAAACTAGAATGTTATTAGTTCAAATACAAGAATAGCACTGGAGATGTTTTATTTTTTAGATTCAGAAATGAAGACAACTTCCAACTGAGTAAAATGGCCCAATTAAGGCCAAAACTGTAGTCTGTCTGGAAAAATATTTTTTACATTTCTTCCTTTTCTAATAAAGTGTCACAAGAACTTCAATTATCAGAGTTTTCACTGTATCTGAAAGACTGTATTTTCATGCTATTAGAAAGATATTCACTGATTTGGACTGAAAAAAATACTACCAAATAGCTGAATACTGCTGTCTCACATGCCTAACTGTTCCTTGGAAGCCTTCTCATGCAGGTCAATTTTGCTTCATCTTTTAATTAAGGTTGAACAAAGATCTTAGACATACGATTGCAGAAGTGTTCCTATTTCCCCTTTGTATACAATAATGCACATTGTTTTCCTGAATGAAAGCAGTGAAGCTCAGGTGATGCAATGAGTATGGCTAATACCCAGGTAGAATTCTTCTGGCAAGCAATGAGAGTCATGCAGACTGGATGTCTACAGAAAATGTGCTCAATGAAAAGGGAACTCACCTGGTACACAAAGAGAATTTATAACATTATTTAGTCTCTCAGGAAAACAATTTTGACTCTGAGGTAAGCCACAGAAATTTCATTCAATAAATTGATGTTGTTTAGTGTAGAAATGCAACCTCCCTCACAAGTCCCCAATCACTGTTTGTGCTACTTGTGTCTCCCACCTTCTCTCAAATCACCTACAAAAATGTTGGAAATTGCTCACTGATTTAGAAATAAAGGAACAAAGTCCCCCCCCTTCCATATTTTTAAGGATAATTTCTAACTTATTAAAGTGAATATGTATGCCATACCACTGTATCCAAGTTTGTTGTATTTGAAAATAAATGTAACAGCACAACATTAATCACGTGCCAAAGTAACAGTATATGATTTTTTTTTAAAGTAGACTCAAAGGGAGTCATTAACTCTACATGTAACACCATTAAAGTGATTAAAATGTCCTCCTCCACTAGTTATGACATTCTTCTCCCCTGTAAATTACATTGGTAGAACACTTTCACATCAGTTAAGAAAATGTAGTTAGTAACCCTTTCCTGGTTTAGTAGCTTGAAGGAATGATTGCATACTTAGAGCAAACTTTACGTATTTATAGTGGCAAGATACAGTAGTTTTTTAGGTATGACAACTATCAAAGACATAGTTTTTCTGTGGCTGCAAACACCTTACAACTCAGAATATCAGAAAGGTCTCCAGTAGGAAATACCGTGTTATTTGTTCAAATGAGGGTAAATAATTAACCTAAAATACAGAAAACAGGAACTATCATAACTGCAGCTTGCACCTTGTACGTATAGTTTTTATTTGCTGCTGTAAATAAAGCAATGCTCTGAAGACAAGCTCTTGCTTACAGTTACCTCTAGAGCAAATAAATATATGTTCCTATGCCAGATTAATAAAACTTTTCAGAAACTGAAAACTCAGATTTTCTGTTTTCGGTTGAAAAAGTATAAATACTTAGCCTCTACAGATTTGTAAGTCTATTTACAAGTTATCACCTCAATGATAAGCACACAGATTTATAGAATTACTTTGCTGGACTGCTCCAGCACTCCCGTATCTCTTTAAAAGCCTCAAAGTTGTAAAACTAGTTCAACTGCACAACCCTCCCACCCTTACCAATAAAGCTTTTCCAATTCACTGTTACCCATTCCATAGCAGAAATTTAAGATGTGAAAGCACAGTTGTCCAATAAACCAACTATCCATCTTAGGGTTACTGATACAAATCTTGCTTAAATCAACTAGAGACCAAATTCATGCTGAACAAACAATTTTGTTAACGGAGTTTAACAATCTGAGTTCCGTTCCTGGTGAACAACTATTTGTCTTAGAAATGCTGCGGCTGTTGGTGGTCTCGTCAGAAAAGGTGCACCTTTGGAAGTTCAGCTCACTACCTTCTTGATAACATTTGTTTTCTGACAACTAATTTTACCTGAAGAAACTTCTGCAGACTGACTGAACTATGATCCCCCAAAAAGGACTTCAGTCTCCAACATTCTTTGCTGCAAGCGTTAGCTTCATCTTACCCAAAGAACTGTCTTTTAACTTGTACAAGCAAATGTTTTTTACTGGAACTTTTATATCCAATTTAAGATATTCTTCTGTGATCCTGGTGAACAGAGCCGGTACTTGCATTTGCGGATGTTATCTAGGAAGTACTGTGATTATATGGAAGGACCATATCACTAAACAGAGATAAGATGGTCTACAAAATCAGCACAGAAAAGGTAAACCATTAACATGGAAAATTATGTAACCTACAACACAATGTGTTGAGTTCTAGACAGTGATAATAAAAAGATTCTAGCTTCAACTGGAAGAGATTCTTAGAAGAGGTCCTAGGATGATTATGAAGACACCCATAATGAGATGACTAGAAGAGTTATTTTTGCCTTTAAAAAGAAAATCTGAGAAGTGGAAATGTCACTGCTGTCTACCTGTACGAAGTAGCAGGGGAGAGGAAGCAAACACTGAGAAGAGAAGATGACTTAAAAAGCAACATGAGATCAAAACACTTAAATTGTTGTAAACAACTTTATCTTTGATTAGAAAAAAGATTTCAAGAGAGGACTGATTAGAATTCCTTTGATTAATCACCAAAGGAATGAAGTCCTGGAATAGCCTTTGAAAGTAGTAGCAATGTATCTGTATTGTTAAAACAGCCAAATAAACTAACAGAAGCAATTGTATGGTAGAATAGAGGAGCTCCAGAGTTGCAGATGAAGACCTGTGGTATGAAGATTTGGGATGCCGATGAGCCATTTAGTATGCTTTTTACAACAGGACTTAACATTCACTTTTGGTTTCAGCTGCCACTGGTGCCTTCCTACAGCATGTAATAGTTCTTGAGACTTTTAGATCGGATCCCAGATTTACACATCTAAATTTAGACGTGATCAGTAACTGCACTGATTAGATCTCTTTTGACTTAAGAGTACAGACATCAGCTCATGTGTAAACACCTAAATAACAGGTACCAGTCTGAAGCTGAAATCTTTCCTAATTCTATGCATTTCTCTTCTGCACTGTGGACCCCTCTGAAACACACTCTTTTAAGTGGCTGTCCGTTGCTGCAAGGGATTGAACTGGGTGACTGAAATGATCTCATTAATTCTCACGTTCATGTGTAGTTCACATGGATACGAGACCAACAGCTAACGAAAAAAACTTTAACTTTACAGAAACTGCATAGCAATATTCCCAACTTTCACTGGTTTTTATCCAGATGTTCATGAAAATATTCCCTGTAACTGGCTCTTTGCATGAAAAGATGTATTCATGGAACATATTTGGCCTGGAATTCACTCATAAAGAAAGTAAAATTGGGGGTTGGTAACAGAGCATAAGTTATTCTGACCTACTCTCTATGTAAAAAGCATGCATCTTTTTAATCAAAATAACCTAGCATGGGTTTTTAATGTTTCTAAATCTGAAACACCTTTTATCTTTAAGACTGTTGCCAATCAAAAATAAATTTTCCACATTAAGATTTTCAGAAAAAACAAGAATGTTTGCAAGGAAAAAAACCCCAACTAATTCTTACCATTAAAAGAAACAGAGCTCTGCAAATAAAACTGAGAAGTAGTCATATCGCATACTCAAGAACAACCAATAGCTAATGATTGGAAGCCTTGAAAACTGAAGAACATCCTGATTTCTGGCTGAATGGCTGCAATTTTACCAAAAACCCCCTTCTAATAAGACAAGTTTTAAAAAAGAAATCTGCTGCAGGTAGCAAAAAATCTGACAGCTGCAGATTGCCTCCTTATTTTCTCTGCTTTGACTCTAAAAGCCTTAACACTACTCTCCTGGAGCTTAAGAGCAGACTCAAAGCTAAAACAGTATCAGTGGCAGCACCGTATTTAAGGTACAAGATGGTCTGAAGCATAGGATGACATTTTGAATGGACACAGCTACCAGGCCAAATAGAAAAACATTTCCCATATGTCAAAACTCCTCTTCAGGAAGAGGGAAAGGAAGTGCTGAATAAGGCTTGAAAAAGGCTTTTCCTATGTAGACCCTAACAGGGACAAGATTTCTTAGTAAGATTCCCCTCCAAACTCTCAAGTTAAGCAAAACACTGTGATGAACAGAAAAATATCTATCTCCAGGATAACAATAAATAAATAAATAAATAAAATAATTAAAAAATAAAATAAAAATAAATAAAAACAATCTGTTTTTTCAGGTTTAGTTTCAACAACTACCTCTGAATTCCTTTAACAATGCTTGAGGAGACCAACTAGAGTTTTCCTAACATGACAAAAAGTCTCTTCTAGAGCTTTACATGTAATGGAACACAATTAAATTAAAATATGTTAAATACTAAATACAGACTGTCCTAACACAATTCCTCACTGCTTTTCCTCAGTAATTTTTGATCATTTTTTTTCAAAAATAAGCCTAAAATATTTTTACATTTCAACAGATTAAGTAAGGCTCAGTCATGTAATACTAATGAGTTTCATAGAGGTACACAATGGCTGAGAGAAGAAGTCAAGATTCACAAGGCTGCTACATGCAACTATTTCCAGGTCCAAAATATTTATGTTAAGGAAAGGGGTTTAACTTAGAGAAAATTAAGCTTTCATTTGGAAGTAATTTAGTTTAGTTCTCCCGCACTGAAATAAAAAATTAAAGCAGTTGTAATTATCACAACAGCTTTGCATACCATTTACAACAATGGGAATATCTTTCCTTTTGTAAAATGCTAACATGAAAACAAATAATACATATGCAGATAAACAAAAGAGCCATTAAAATCTGTTTTGCAACCATTTACATAACATAAAAATTAACAGCTGATAAAATTTACAGTAACTTAAAATTACCTTTTTCTAACTTTTGCATATAAAAAAAAAATTAATGCTTACTACATCATTTAAAACCCAATATTTAAACCCCAGTGTCATTCCCACTAAAAACTTTGGCTCATACTTTCGCAGGATCATGAACAGAATGGTATGCAGGGTGGGTTTTTTTTTTCTTTTTTAGTTTCTCCTCACAGTCAGTAGCTCCCAATTATCTTGAGGGAAGCACAGTATTTAATATATATTGAATTACAAAGATCGTTACTTACAATTAGCTGTTTCAAGCCTACAAATGACTGTTCTACAGAGTTGGCGTTTAAAACTTGTCTCTTCACCGCAGCTTGTTCCCCCAAGAAGCGAAGCATTAAGTCTTTTACTGCATCTCCCTTGGTGTTCATGGAACAGAAAAAGAAGAAACACAACACAACACTGCTAAATATTATTTTAGCAAAATAAAATGTTGAATTAGCTGAGCAACATACTTTTTTCTCTTTAAGAAATGCTTGCTTTCCAGTACTTTTTGTGCAAAATGAATATAAATGAAAATATATGTACCGCATTTTAATGAAAACTTCTAGATTTACTCCACATTATTTACTATTTTTTTCAGTATATAGCTTTCAGTTAGTATAGAAACATTCAGGCTTATTTGCTTCCCATATTATTAACCTTCGAAGATCTTACAAAACACAGTTAGTTTTACAGGTTTTTGTAATGGATATTAATGTTGAAAGGTGTAATCTACTGACTGAATATAAATGTGCACGTGATCAGTTAGCCTTAAGTACCCACAGAAAATACATTTTGAGATATCATAAAACCAAGTAAACAGCAACCCTTCAACAAGTATTCTTAATTTCAAAAGAATTAACTGCAGGAATCAGAAATCGGGTTATCTGAGCTCAGTAATTTGGAAACTTGAGACTAGTTGAGACACAGACATTTGAAACGGATTTCTAAAGCTAGACAAGATTAATTCTACATTTTACGACATGAAGCAGCTAAGAGGAAGAGTGTCCAAATCCAGGTTCTATTTCCAGCTTTGCTAGCACTAAACTGAGTAAGTCTGTATATGGCACCCTCTGTGCCTCAATTTCTCCTTCTAATCTTTGTTCCACTATCGAATTCTGTGCCCTCCCGTCTGTTGGCTGATATCCTTGTGGTTCTGTGTACAAGAGATTTTCAAAAGGTAATCAAGGAATTCAAGCTTAAATGTCAAGCAGCTACTAAAGAACCGCAGACCACACACTGACGGGATGTTGAAAACTGTGCCACTACTGTCTGCACGCTCTTCAGGTACCACGTCTGCCAATACAGAGCGTAGGACAGGGCACAGGGGGCAGTGGTCCTGGTCACTGGGACTGGACACATCACTGTATACAAGTGAATCCCCTATGATGTCAGAAGTCACCACATGCCAAAAGCAGGTACAAAAGTCATTTCTGTAAGATTTTTGCCATTCTTATGCTTTTATGCATTTATAATCTAGAAAAGCAAACACCTGAAAAGAAGGAAAATTATCAGCGCTATACTAACAATATACTTATAGCTTTGTTTTTAAACAAAGTAATTTATAACACACACTCAGCCAGAGTAAGGGTGTTGGTGAATAGTAGATGTTTGCAAAAACAGTGTAAGAAACAGAGTAAGCTCATAGTGGTCTTTCCCATCTTAAAGCAGCCAGAACATTATGGTCCACCTGTGCCAGGGGACATTTTTGCCTGCAATTTTTAAACACCCACTGATAGGCATACCTCTCATGACATTTCTCTTGCTCATTTTTCAGTCTGTTTCTCTCAGCAAAAGTACATCCAAGGGCAATGAATTCTACAACTCAAAAACAGTTACATGGGCTGCGGAACAGTAACTCCTTTTGTCATGCTTATTACTCAACAGTTCCTTTGCCATAAAAACCAGCAAATCGTAATCCTCCATTTACCTTAATTCTTTTATGAATTTTAGACAATTATTGCTCTTGTAAGTCAAAAGGTCCTCTTCCTTTTAGCTACCACTCACAAGAGAGAATGTCTGCACTCCTCACCATCCCTCCTCTCTCTCCAATTTGTTTTAATTTCATTGTCTTTTCAGTTCTGTGTTAACTAGAACGGTATGCAGTATTTAAGATGTTAAAGCAGAAAGTGACTATGCAAAAATGTAAGCATTTAAAGGAATATTTGCAAAAATCCCTTGGAAGGAATATGAAAACATTCACTTGAAGAACTGAGGCAGGAAGCTGTGAGCACAGTGAGCAGAAAGCAACCCACAAAACCTTTTGCCTAAAAAAAGGTGAGCTGCATAAAACACAGTAAAGCTTAGCTATGATAAAGATAATTAACTGTTTGCACTTTCCCCATGTACAGCGATAGGAAATATGTTTGTGTTTTCTGTCTAGTTTCTTGAGGCATGAGACTGCAACTACTGTTTCACCACACGGAAAATTTTTACCTCTAATGCTGTCACCTATCCTATGAATAAACCAGATTTCCATCTGTGGGACAGAAGAGCCTGAAGGATATAAGAAAGGCAGTGTGTGCAAAATTACGTAAATATAAAAGAATTTTTAATCCCCCCAACAGTACTTTGGAGGACGAAACATTACAAATGAATGTAATGAAACAAAGGACATCATGACAGCAAACAGTAACTGATGAAGAAAGGCATAACGGAAAGAGCATAAAAAGCAGTACTCCAACTTGTTCCCACACCCAGAGAGCACAAGTTCAGATAATCTGTACCATACGCCATCCAAAATAGTTTAAAAAACAATGTTTCTTGAACAATCAGCAAAAAGTAGCATGCAGTTGAAATAGAGAACGTTGACTATTTTTGTTGGGTGATTTATCCACTTAACTTTTAAGACAACACACTTGTAATAAGAACAAATATTTTCTGAGTGAGCAGGGAAACAAAAGCATTGAGCTCAGTACACATCACACAAAACTTCAGTGCACCCCTGAAGCACACTTACAGTTAGTTCACTGTAAATGAACTTTTCAACTAACTTCCTTGTCAACCGCATGCAGCCTGGTTTAACATCTTGCATTAACATTTAGCGTTAGCAAACTATTCATACCAAAGCTTTAATGAACATTGTTGGAAGCCGATTTAACATTGAAAACATGCCTCCCAATGTTTCAGTTGACATTTCAAGTACTTTACAATTATAGTTTCAGTTAAATACAAAATTTGCACTACCAGAAGCACATGGAACAATGATACCAAACTAGGGGATGTCAGGTAAGTCAAGGCGTGCGCTCAGGCCACTGAAAAGCTGTATCTGGAAGTGAGGAAAGTTGTATAAACATAAAGCACTTCAAAACCTGTCCCTGCTGACATGCCTATGTGACTGCCTATAAATTATAATCAATGAAGAAAGCAGCAGGAACCCCCTTTAACTCCATTGATGATTTTACATCAGGTCTTACTGTAGAAATACATCACGTGCACATTGCCATAACATCTCCTTTTCAATTATGTACTAAATGGTAGATATGCATATAAGCATGTGTCCAGGTTCAGGGAATCATTAGCACAAAATAGCCTTGAATCCTTGACTGGACTGAGGAAGGAGAGAGAGAACTATTGTAAAATCGGAGGTCCACAATAAGGAGGACCTCATCCTTGGGGCCTGCAGAAGGGATCATTTCTGCTGTCCATCCCATTAGCTGTCAGGAGAGAAATAGTACACACTCTTGAATTACTCATCAAGGTCTAAGGGATTCTTTGGTGAAGGACCCTTCTATTTTTCTTTTGAAAGGAGTGGAGAAGGAGTAGCTTCCTATTACAGTGTTTTCTTTCACGCTAATTCCTGGGCTCTGTCACAACAAACAAAATATTTTAAGATAAAGCTAACAGAAGAAGTAGCAGGCGCATGGCATATGTCTAAAACTGGTATCACTTGTTGCTTGTGACAGAAACCCAAGATTTGTCAGATAATTCAGCTACAAATCTGGACCTGATTCACTCCAGAAACTTTTCTGATAGTTCCCGCAGATTAGGTTACTGCAGACTGCTCTCTGCTTGTACAGGACTATTGACTGATAATCTTTGTTTATACCTTCATGATCTCATCTGGATTTTTCCCTTTAATTTTGGGGTTATCCCTTCCCAGTAACTTGCTCCAGCACTCAATCTTTCCTACAGGTTATACCTTTCCACTGCTTAGGGAAGATAGAAATGAAGCCATTTCAGTCAGTGTTAACATTGTTAAAAGCACTGCGAACATCAGTGAAAAATGTTATTTCCCACTTGGTCACAACAGTGAATTCCACAGGCAAAGCAAGCTGTCCGTTTTCAGACTTTGTAGTGCAGCATACTAATTTTGTATATATTCCAAATGAGACCATTATCTTACTAACTAGGAGGACCAAGAACTAACTGAAACTATTTAAAAATACAACCAGCTTTGGATACTATGGAAACTGTCAACACAGGTTTACAATGTACCCAACAAATTTCACTATGAATAAATCAGAACTGGTTTTAGCCCCTTCACGCATGAGTAGGCACTGACATTACATTTTCTAATACGGATTGAAGTAATACACACAAGGCGACCATCAGTAACAATATGAACATACATATTATATACAGATTATTGGACAGCTCTTATACAATACTTCTAAAATATAACCATACACACATACATAGACTCTTACCTGGATATTATCAAATTTTAATCCAGGCATGGTGAGATTCTCTTTATCTATGAACACAGTGCTGTATTGTTGTGTGGCAACTGAAATTAGAACATTCCTGGTTTCCTCACTAGGAAGCCAAGCATCATTTCTTCTGTCTAGTTCACTCATATTTAAGGCTGTGGCAAATGGGTCATCACTCCCAGAAAAAACAGCTTGGATTTGTGAGAAGGGCTTAGGGGATTGAGTTATTTCCAGAGATGATGGAGGACCGCCTGCCTCACGTCTCCCATTTTCCGCAGAGAAAGTAGGTTTCGATGAAGCACAAGAACTGTCTCCACCATTAGAAAGAGAGGACATCTGTTCTGGAACAGAAGAGCTTGCATTGGGGTTACTAACAGAAATAAAATTGGATGTGGTAAACGAATCAAAAAAATCAGAAGCTAAAGTATTAGTGTTAACAGTATCGCCAAAGAACTTGCTTAGACTAGGACTTGGTTGAACCACCTGTGGATTAGACTTCACTGGAGTCTCAATTATACTACTAAAACTGGGAGATTTAACCATCTGAGGCTGAAACCCATCAGGTAGGAACAACTGTGGCTGGGTATTTGCATTGTTTGCTTGACTGAAGATGGTACACACAGGAATAGGCTCAGCCTTGGGAGACGGTTTGCTAGTAGTGGGTGAAGATATCCGGTCTTCAGGTTTGCTTTCATGAATATTATTTGGTTTTGTTTCAACAGGAGTGTTGTGTCCCAACTGAGGTTCCTCCTTCACTGCTTCCTGAATGGATTCTTCCTTTAGAGATGCCTGATCATCTGTTCCAATCTCAGAAATGTCTTTGGGTGTTTCTTCATGTTCAGTTTCACTCTCATTACTTAAAAACTCTTTATCCACTTCTGCTTGTGGTTTTTGATTATCTTTAGCTTCCATTTGTTCTACGATCTCTTGCAAACAACCAAGTTCACCTGTGTCATCTTCACTGTTGTTTGGAGAATCTGAAATAATTACACTCTCCATCATTTGATCATTAAGTTTATCTACAAAATTATTTGAATCTTCTGATACAGTTTCATTCCCTTCAGACTCAAATTCATCTCCACCAAGATCAATGGTTTCCTCATGAAAGAGAATTTCTTCCTGAGTTTTGTGTTGAACTATGCCTCCACTCTCATCTTCATCAGAAGTGCTCTTCGCATCCTTCGCATTACTTTCATTATTCTCCATGGTAGCTGATGAAGGAAAAATCCCCACCACAACAAGTATTAGTTTTATTACTTGGGTATTCCTCAGGTGCCACCCTGAAACTCCTAAGTATCACACAAATACTGAAAATCTTGCTTTAAAAATATAGCTGTTTCACTATTTGATATCTTCCACCTAGCACAGAACAAACTAATAACGAAAAAGGGTTTATCTTTTCTGTAGTCGCAAAAATATTGGCATTAAAGAGCAAAGGCCTCCCACTAAGCAGGGGCAAAACCGTATTTGCTCTCCTGCTCGGGAAAGCCTAGCTCGGTCCCCGTTTAAGAGGGGGTGGGGTGGGGTGGTGGTCGCGCTGCCACCA